TATTTAACTTAATATTGAATAGTTTAGCATTATGTGACTTAATAATAATTATCTCTTTTATGAGAATGCATCTAAATATGAAAGTTATAGAATTTATTCCCAACACGACTCTCCTACCCCAACAATTCCCCTGGGTCAAAAAACAAAAAGAAAAAAAAAACCTAATCTCGAACATTTTCTGTGCACGTTTTTGCACACTTGTGTATTTCCACAAGGAAAATGATGTTTGGAACGAAAAAATACATTGGTTAAATGGAAAAACTGAATCTAATTCCGTGTGAATCTGACATTGTTTATGCTAAAAATAATTTAACCTCCTTCATTTTCTTTATTTATTTATTTTTTACTGACCAATCATGACCCTTTTCCACAATTTCTTTTGTACGGAAATCCATTGTGGATTGAACAAATAACACACCACGTTATATGTAGCGAAGGAGACATATAGAGCCGACGACTATTCAAAGTTCAAACAGTGGATAAAGGGAATAAATTAAAAAATATATTTTACAATATGAATTGATTTAAATTATAAAATATTAATTATTTAATAAAATTAAATTTTTTAATATTAAATTTTTTATTAAATAATTATTATTTTATAACCTAAATCAATTTAAATTATAAAATAAAATACCCAAAAAAGTAAATGAGGGCAGTTGGGGTCTGAGTCTTATCGGAAGGAGACAGGTCATGACTCATAGCCCTTCAAATTAGTGGTGTTTTATAATTTTTATTTTTAATTTTTTTGGCCAGAATAAACACTGAGATTGAGATGAATTTCTGTTTTTTGGAGATAGATAATTTTGGGGATACTGGATAAGGGATAAGGGAGATGACAAAATTGACAATGACTGATTACACCTCAAGTCATCATGCATTTTCACTCCGGCTTCGTTTGATAATGGTTTATGCTGACTCTTTTAACTTAATTTTACTTTAAAATATAAATTTATAATTTATAATTAATTTTTTTTATATATTTTTATTAATTTTAATTAATATTATATATATTTTAAATAATAAAAGATAAAAAAACTATATATTATAATCACAATATATAACATGAGATGTAGCTCAAATATTATAAAAAAAAATTTATACTTTTATAATTTAAATTATATTAAATTATAAAATTAAAATTACTATACAAAGAAATAACTCCACATTTAAGGTGGTTTTTTTTTTAATTTTATAATTTAAATTATATAATTTGATATAAATAGTACTCCACGAGACATTTCTTAAAAATACTACTACTACTACTTTTGGATTTTGGTTTTTTTTTTTTTTTTATAATAAATTTATAAGAGATTGAATTCGAACCGTTATTTTGAGATGAAAAAATACACTTATACGTTACCTAACGTCACTAAGCCTAAAGGCACAAGTGCACTACCTTTGGATTTTGGTTTATTTTAAGATGTAAGAGAAAAACTTATTTGATTTTGCTGTTGTTAATCATTGATAATTATTCAAATAACTAATATAACTTAGAAATGAAATCATTGTATAGTTTAAAGTGTGTAACAAAAACCTCCAAATAAAAAACAATGTTTTTAATATTAAGAGCTCTTTTTTTTTTTTACCAATAAAAAATTAAAAGATGGATAAATAGTTACAATATTACTGTACTGACAGTTTGAACCCTTGATAAAAAAATCAAAGGTAAAAATACATTTTTATCGCGACTAAGGCCACAAGTGCTTAAGAGCTCTTTTTTATATAATGATTTTTATAAAATAGATAATTATTTAACATACATTTAAAATTAACTTATAAAATGATATTTTTCAATCATCTTAATCACAAATCAAATATACTCAAGTTCCCTATCATAAGTGGCAAATGACATAAAACAAAGAGTACACATAGACCGAATCTTGTGTTACAATAACAGCTGGATGCCTTCTTCATCAGCCTCAATTATTTTGTAAACATGATGATCCGCCGGTCTCCCCTAGAATTGCTCGACGAGGAGCTTCATCCTCTCAAGTACGTACTTACCTTCCTTGAACCTCTGTCTCATATCATTCGTCTGCAAATACTGCCAACCTAGATATTCATTACACTTACTGCAATAGATATCCGCGATCGTGAACTTTCCGGTCAGGAGCTGCCTCTCCTCCTTCCGCCCCACCACCAAGTTCATCGCATAAAGGAACAGGTAACCCGCCCCTGATTTCGTCTGTAAAGGAAAATCAAAGTCCCTTTTTAGATTTGGTAATTCAATTGAAGAAATTGGAAAACGATAAGATCGAATTATTAAGTTAGATTTACCTTGAAATTTTTGGAGAGAATATCCTCGCCGTATGCGAGAGGATTCCGGCAGGTTCTGCAGCTGTACAGCTCATTGCCTATGAAGTCCGCCATGGTGAAGGGAGGGTAATTGAACACTGGAAGGATAGGTGAGAAAATTCTGGTTTTTGAGATAAGAACAATGTGGTGAAGGGGAAGTTAAATAGAAAAACAGGTCTCGACCAGACCAATAGGATGGATCATTGACTAATAATTGAATGTGAAGCGCAACAGTAACAGGCATGTAGTTTAAAGGTAAAATTAACTTAATTTACTTTTAGTTATAAATCTTTTTTTGTTTTTGAGTAAACATAAATTTATAATTCAATTCTAAGTCTTTACCTACTAGAAATATGAAATATCTCATTAAATGCTCTCTCTTTGAAAAAATCAATAATTAATAGCAACCATGAATTAGTCCCATGATACATAATATATACATATATATATATACACA